GCATATTTCATCATGCGCCTTACGCAATTTTCTAGAACATAGATAAAAGTTATAATAAAAGAACACAGTGAAAGTATGAGTGATGATCAATGAGTAGTGAATCATTATATAACTGAAGTTTTCACATTTCACACTCTATTCATCTGACCTTGAAGCTCATCAGCGATCTTATGAAGTCAGTGTGACTTGAATCGCTGAACAACTTCATCAAAATACTGTAAGATATACCTCACCTAAACGAGTAAATAATTCAACAGTTGTCAGATTCAGCTGATTTTATGAAATAGTGAAGCATCAATTAACAATAATATCACATAACCGATTTCGAACAGAAAGTCGCTCGGCCGCCTGTTGCAGTTTACCGATGAAATTGTCAAGTTGTTTTGGATCATTCCAAGTGAGATTCGCAATTGGTGCATCGCTGCCCTTCTCAGCAATAACTAACTTTTCGAAAGCTAAAGCCTCATCGAGCATCATCGCTTGTTGACACGGTAACATTTGTTGTTCGATAGTATTGTAGAAATGCGCTACCTTAAACTTGTTTTTACTGCGACAAAACATTAGCAATTTGCAATAATGAATTCTAAGTGAAACTTAAACAGATCAAGTGCTTGTCTTCAGTCGGAGCAATCATTATTGTGAGGCACTGAGTTTTTCTCAGAGATCGCTGTCACTTCATTGCCTTTATTTTTCGTTTCAAATTTGAAAGAACGCTCAACGGAATGAATCACTTCTAATGCCACCAACTTGCTTAAGAACGATAGCTGATTTGTAGAATTTCTCGCCGAGATTCGCACATTTGATAATTTTCGATGGTACGTTGAAGCCGAGACTTGTGAGCTGTCGAACCTCTTTGAGCAGTCTCACCAAACGGTCGCTGTAGTTCACATTCAGTGTACCGTGTCTCTGTTCGATACTCATCACTTTACCGCTCGTTTCGAGTGACACTGCATCTGAGTGACTGTCGATCGCTTCACTAATCTCTCGACACCTTATATACCAAACTTTCACTTTTAATCAGCAGGACTCATTCATTTGTGTGTGCAAATTGACTATATTCTTAGCGAGGGAAAGGTTAAGCTTGTTCGTTTCATATGAAGCGTTCGGTTTAGAGATGGATCGAAAATGTTCATTCGTAAAACATGAAGTGATCTAGCGTTCGATTAATAGAAGTAACGAGCTTCGAAGCGCGTTCAAAGCAACAATTTTACATGTCACACTGACCACGAATCGAACAAATCGCTTTGCGTTGCTCTCATCTCTTCCAGGCTACCCTCAATGATGCTCTTCAGCTGGCGGTAGTTGTTCAATTCACTGAGCAATTCTTCTGATAACGTTTTGGCATTCTCCACCTGAAACTTCCAGTTGTTTATCGTGACNAAAGGTGTATCTCATAATCACTCAGTTGAAGATGACTTATTGACTCCATATACATTTCATGTCAAGTTGGTTTCATCTACTTATCTTAGCCAGCTCCACTTTACCTCACCTCAGTGCAATAACTGGAGAGAAACAGATAGAAGGAAGTGTAAAGTTAACAATACGTGGTAATTAAATGACATTCAAAATACAACCAATATTCCATGAGACGTTCTCTTCACGAGAGTTTTTCTTGTTCGATAATTTGACGCAATTAATGGACTCTGATATCGCTCTCACTCATTCACATTGAAGTTATATCGCACTTCATTATAGATTTTGGTAGGTAGCAGCACTTTTTGTTTAACAAAGACAAACAATACTCAAATGCTCACTTGTCACGTAACATCGCAGAACTGCAGTCATCCATGAGCAAGAACAGTCAGTACTGCGATTAGAAACATTGCATTCACACTGACCGTTTTGTGGCCTAACGCACGATTCAAAGTCAGGACCTGTGGTGTGACATTGAAGTGTTCTGTTCGAATAATGATAGACTTTTTAACCTCAGTAATTTGTTGCCGAATCCAAATAATTTTTGCAGCGACTTCAGTTAGATAACGACCTGTCGGTACATCACCACCGTTCAAACGCTCATCAAATTCACGTTTTTTTGACGATACAGAATCAGTTAAACGACTTAGCAGTGTTTCTCTACAAACATATGCTATATTCAAATACACTGAGTAATAAACTGCACAGCCCCATTTTTTTGGCTAACAGTAGCATTATTCAGTTGATGAATATAATTTTTGAACTTTTCAGTCCTGATGATTCTTTGTTTGCAATCTTTTTGCACTTCTCTTCCATAGCTGTTTCATTACTGCAACTGTTTCGTCGAAAGGTTCATTTTGTCGAAAAAGCAGAAATTTGAAAGCAAGAACCAAACCTTTCGGCAATAAGACGTTCCTTGATCTGTGGTCGATTCAAAAAATGCTTGTATTTGACCAAATCATAGACCACCTGCAGAAAAAATGAACTTTGTCGACAAAGCGTTTATATCGATCATTTTTTGAAAGATTCACTATTAATAGCTACAATGAATCAGTTGAACTCACCAAATTGCTTTTAACCTCGGTTGGTTGAAATCGTTTTCTTAGCACTGGTATGACTTTTTGAATAGTTGCTTCGATATTTCTCTCGATCACCTAAAGACTTGTTTCATTCATTGCACTCTCAGCAATTAATTGAAACTCTTTCTCTTGCATGGCTGCTGAGCATTTTCCGTTCTCGAATATAGTCATGGTGGCAGAAGTACAATAGAATACTTGATTTTCTTTGTCTAATTTTTCTGAACTCTGCTAATAAAAAATTGGTCATTAAAGTTTAAATTCAGGAATTTTTTGGTGTTGGTTCACATGTGCCGAAGCTTCTGTTTGTGTTTGGTGCATGATATATATTAATCAAATGATAATATTGTAAGGACTAATGATCCAAGCAGTTACCTGCAATTTAGATTTCCACTGTGGTTCTGTGAATGGATTGTAGAGAAGTGGGTTGAAGTCCTTCATCACATTCTCCAATATTTCTTCAGTTTCTTTTTGTGCATTCTTTTCATTCAACAACTGACCAATTTGAACACTCAGCATTTTTAACGAGAGAAGCTGTAATAATTAAGCCTTAAGAAGCATACGTGATCATGCGTTCTGCCCATATAACAGAGAGAACAAACTCTCTATGTTTCAGCCTGCGTTCTCCGCGCCAACCAACACCCTATCAGCCATCTAAGTCCCTCTAAAAACAATAACCAATTCTCAAACCTCAAACCAATACCAGGATTCTCTAGTGTGCTAGAGTTCGAACGTAAAGAACTACATCCTTAATCATCACTTTGTATCCATCATCACCGTTACCCACCGAATGATACATCCTTACGCTAATTAACGAAGGAGAAATGGGGACAGATCGGAGACATTTCACGGACAAATCAAACGACACGAAGAATGAACGATGAGTAACGCCATGTGACTTGACACTGCAACAACGTCTCAAATTCTTACAGATAATTTACCTGATTGAGTCTTCCTCTGAAACCATCCACGAAATCCATCGAATTACTCTCCTCTTTCCATTCACCTTCCCTGCTTGATTGCTGCGTTAAGCGTTTCACCGTAAAATTCCATTCATCACATAGCGAGATGCCTATTTGGATTAGTTCGACTGTCTTTTCATCTCTCCATAAATTTGTAGCGTCGATTTTATCAGTTATTGCATCCACCAGAGCGTTTCCTTAATGCTCCTCTTTATAGCTTATTCGTTTGGTTCCGGTGTAATGAAATGGCACGATCACACTGAACAGATATCGTTTGTGGTACCACAGCAATACTGTCTTAGTGATTCACATCCCTCAGTTCGCTCTTTATTTTCAACTCAAAACTTCATTTGTGATTTGGTTAGGAACTGAAGGCGTATGAGAAATGCTCTTTGAGCAATAGTGATATGTGCTGTAAAAACTGATCATTCATCAGCACATTCCGTGGAATAAATAAATCATTGACCATACCGAGTCTATGGATCAGCTGTTTCATGCGATTTTCCGGGTATGGTTCCACACAGTGCCACAGATTATAGATGCAATCTTCCGCATCCTGAATGAACTCACTCAGCTCTTCCAGAGATTTCTCTCTCATCACATCAATCTTATCAGCAAGTGATTCAAATGCCTCATAATACTGCACTGCTGTGTCATCGTTACTTTTCTCCTCGCTTCTTTTCCTCCAATATCGAATTTCTTCGCGCAATGAATAGAGACCTTCAAATGCGATATCTCTTTACTTGCAGATTCTCTTCACATATTCCGAACAAACTTTATATTAGTAAATTGCTTAAAATGCTCAAAGTTGTGTGGGTTTCTGTGTGATTCCCTGGAATACTCTCATCGTGTTTCCATACCAGTTTTGCTTTTGTTCGAAGCATTTTCGATAGATTCACTCGCGAATCTTTTCGAAATTTAATCTGAACGAACCGTCGCTGTTCTGCTTATCGATATCGTTTGTTACGCTGAGAGTGTGCTCGAGTTCCTTGACAAGACTGATCAACTGGGTGTTAGCTTGTACAGATGGTGAACGGTTTGCTGATGTCTTCAATAGAGATTTACTGAACACCTTAAAATTTCTCCTTTATTCCTCCATCTTCCAAAGAGCACAGCAAGCTTCACTCCAAATTCATCTATTTGATGATTACACACCTTACGATTCGCATTTCTTGCGATGACACTACCAGTGGATCAAAGCCAATCAGCTAGTGGGAGCAATGTCGAGAAGAAACGATCACTGAGCTAACAGATAATCGATAGATCAGAAATCAAATTATGTTGATTTATATATTTAAACTGTTCCAAACGAAAAAACAACAGCAAAGTTGTTCACATAAATTTGCTTTTTGAGTGTTCGCATAAATAACAATTAAAATGAAGAAAATGAACTTGTTGTAAGGACGCAAGAAGTGTTTGATTGAGTTGTGCTTGACTCGTTAAAACACCAACAATCCTCTTGTAGTTATCGTCTGTCAACGGAACTGAGTTCAACTTATAGAAGATTATTCGCTGACTTATTGGATTATCTTCCTTTAACTCATTACTCAGCACAACATTGCTTTTCTGAAATCATTATTTATTAACTGATTCATACCACATTTGCTTTGATACGATGATTTCGTCTAGTGTTTCAACGACAAAGGTCATTCCCTTTCGAGTGCATGCTACTAGCATAAGCCAGAATGAAACAGATATTCATGGGTAATTACTGCAATTCATCAGATAGTAAAATTATCGTTGGAACAACTGTTTGCTAGCACCAATTTCAAACGTCTATCTGGCTCTTTCGCAGAATAGCTTTACAATTCCTAGTTTTTGTTTAGGACTGTGACTCATTTCCTAGAACATTCGATGCTTCTTGAATTCATACGAATTTTCAGGAGTGATTTGGAAATCTCGATCAGTGATTAGAAAGAGTATAAATCGTTGAACCGTACTGGTAGGAGGATGTCATCGATAAACATGGTTGGAAGGAAACGAGACAGACCTGTTGATAACGATTGAAAACAAGTAATGGTGTTGCACTGTCACAGAATTTGTGTAATGCTCGAACGTTGCTGAGTTTATCTTCGACCAAATTCAGCGCAGCAATGTGTGACGCAACTCGGAGGATGTAACTCTTTCTGGGATCGTTTCTACCGTCTTCGTCTTTCGACATCCTAGAACATTATTGTTGGATCATTGCACTTATCGTGCTTATTGATAAGCTCTTAACGAGCGATTTCTTGCTGTGCTTGAGACGAAATCAGCACAGTAAATGATACTTCGCTTTTCAGAACAGGATAATATTACAAAATCTTTTTGGCATCCTTTTCCGGTTCGATGTGAATTTGCTGTTAGATAAGGTAACTGAAGTTCCGATAATTTCTACTAATTGCCTGCATTACGGTAATGCTAAAGCATCATTCACGATTCAGAAACGTTCCTCTAGCTTCAATTGTACCGAATATGCAATGGTAATTGATGAAGTTTGAACTGGAAATGAAATTGATGGAAAGGGTAAAAAGCAACGATAGTAAATGATATGAAACTGCAACTATTGAGTAGTGAAACTGTGCAATTGATGAGAGTGCTGTGCGAATATGCTCAGCAATATGCTACTTGCCATCCGCATGAATTTCCGTTGCTATGACGACACTTTCGAAAGCGACAACAACGCAGGTTATGCAGCAGTTCTGTTCGATAGAAACACGAGCGTTCAATGAGGTGGTGTGATGCTACTGTCGTTGAAGTGAGTTCGGCACATCTCATCTCATCATCCTAATTTGAAGTGCACTTCGAGTTTCATTAGCTCCACCGTTGAAAAAAAACAACTTCTGGAAGGCATATTGAAGCTGTTTTTAATCCCAAGTCGATTAGTGCCTTTCAAAGAAACCAGGTGGAATTTCGATATAATTCTCTGGAAATAGCGCCGTTCATGAAAAAAACCCACATTTACAGCTACACATGAAGAAAGCTGATCTCAAAAATACATGATCCATGGATGAGAAACAATGTGTACAATTCGGTTCATTGAAAATATGATGAATATAATTAAGGACTGATTCTGTCCATAAATTTCTTATAAATATCGCTTCCTTATCGCTGAGAAATACGTTCAGCTTGCTGATCATAGCCATTCGATCATTTGAGTAGTTTCATGACCCCATATACTCGCTGACTTTTTTTCCAACCGAACAATCTGAGGTTACCTTGTTGACTGAGAATTTTCATTAAAATTGCTAATTTGGACTCAGAGTTCATTACTGATGACATAAGTACACAATTAGATTGTCTATGAGTCTGATTTGCTCATGTCAGTGATAGCATACCAAATATAAGATCTCCATCTCGTGACTCTTAGCTCTACTCGCCAGAAAATAATTACTGACTGTAAGGAACGAATCCACAGAAGACAACTGCACCTCCCATATCTATGGTCGTTGACCACATGTGTGCAAACAAAATCATAAAATTTAGTTGGATGTCAGCAACAGAATGGAGTCAGCTTTTCTCTTTGCAAACGTTCATGCAATGACCTGTTTTCTGCCTGATAGTGTAACGCCTTCGAAGGTAGAGTTGTTTGACTTGGAATGGATATCCATTCCACAAGAGCATCTGTTTTCCATTCTAAACCAGTGAAAGGCGATAAGCGAAGTAAAGCTTCCCAACTGATCATTTTCAAGTCATTTTTTATTCTTGCTAGGGGAAATTTTGAAAAACTTTATGACCCGCACTCGGCCCATCCGCTGCAGTGTCGTTGCATAAAATAGTTCTTGTAACTGCAGTTTTAGTCTGATTGTGAGATTACTCGACTCCATCCTTCAAGACTTCTTTTCGCATTGAGGGGAAGATGCTTCTCTTTTGCGATATTTCATAACATTCTTTGGTATCGATTCAACTGGACAAATCCTATCTCATGTGATGTCTTAATCATCATAACTCATGTCATAGCTGTTGTCCGAAGAGGTTGAATCAGGAGCTGCAATTGAGTCCATCGAAAAATATTACGGCAGGGGTGAGACGATATGCTGAATGAAAGAATGACACCTATTTGCTCTGCTTTCATCATGTTTGTTCTAGTGAAAATATGCAACTGGAGACGGAGCCTAAGCTGGAATTTCGAGAAATTTTTTTCTGGAGGCACAGCCGAAGACGGAATCTCTCGAAGTAAGAACCGCAGCTGAATTTGAAGCCAAAATTTTAGAACTCCGGAACTGGAGCCGAAGATGAGTCAATGTTTTTTTTTCAAATTTGAGCATCACTAATGCTGAGTTTGTAAACCGCGTATTGATTGGTCTGCCTATTCAGTTCTAATTCCACCTAGCGATGTCTCTATTGCATTCAAGATGTTCTATTCCATGGAATAGAATTCAACAGTTCCAAAAAAGGCCGCACAGAATAAAATAGAACAGAGGAGCAGAAGGGCAGAATAGAACAAAATAAAGTGGAAGTGCCCAAAGTGTGGAATATCACCACTTCTATTATCGCTTGCATTACTGTTCATCCTATAATATTCATTTGTTTCACTCCATTCTCCTTAGCATTCTATTATTGACACACTGTATCCATGTACATAATAATAATCAGTTATTCACAATAAAATGATGGAAACATAAATACAATTTACAATAAAAACACTTCACAA